TTTCTAACTTGGTAACAGGAAGATTTTTTTCTGTTTTTCAGTTGCTAAGCTGAAAATCTTATAATTACCACATAAAACTTGAGAACTCTCCACTGCATTGTAAGCTGGAGGCAGCGCAAAGCTTCCAAGGAAATGTGTATGAGCTGTGTACCTTGTGAGGAGGGAGGCTGCTTAGGGGTTAAGAATAAACCCATCGACGTTGGTCTGGGTGGGCCAGCATGTGTCCCATTCTCAAGGATAACCAAAGAGGAAGGTATGCCCTAGGCTGGGGATTCTCCCACAGGGATGAGTCTGGGAAAGCACTCTCAGGGGATCGGCTGGCTGTGAGATCCAAAACACATTGGTGCTAAAAGAGAAATGCATTATAATCATATTCTGGCATGGATGAATATGTCAACAAGAGAAAAATTCTGTTTCCTTTCCTTTCTATGAGACCAGCAATGTTTTTCAAAATCTTATATCCTAAACAGAGAAAAAAGACACCACTGTAGATTTATTGATTGACTGATTGATTCATTCATTCACCAAATATTCCTTGAATGTCTACTCTATGTCAGATACTGCTAGCACAATTAACGAAAGACACTTTGTTTCCACCATAACCAAACTACATCAGTAGGGGAAAGACAGATATTAAACAAATAATTATGTGAGTCATAATTTAATTATAGTTGGAATAAGCACATTAGAAGAAATTATCTCAAAGATATAATGGGGAACTGAGGACATTTTTCTGCGTTATTTAAAAATAGAGGTCAATACCAGACACCCATCTCTAAGAAGAATGGGTTCAGCAAGGCACCCTAATGTCTGAGAAGAGGTTGGTTTCATGACATTGAGACAGCTTTACTTGGTCATTATGCACAGTGACTGAGAAGCAGGTGCTGTGAGGGTCTAGTCTTCCCCTGAATGTTGTCACTGGGACTGTATGATTTGCATGCTTGCAAACATTTTGTTTGGGGATCTCCCACGTGAGTGGCACATCAAGTTTTGTTGATTTTCCAATCAAACTAATTAGGAGAGGTGGCTCTTCCAGGTAAATCATATCATCACCACATTGATGTTGAACATGTCTCCTTGGAGGGTATGAAGTACTTAGGAAATAACATCAAGTCCAAGCTGTTCTCCCAAAATAAATACAAACTGATTGCCACCTGCTTCAAAAATCACAGTTGATAATGTTATGACAGAAAGAGAATTTATTTCCATATTAATTTCTTTTGGAAAATAGATTGGAAAGATCTTGATCCTATAATCCTTTATGAACAAGGAGACTCTGATAAAATGTGTTAGATGATGTAATAGCAAAGCATTGTTGGTGGATGAACAGCAATCGTGGTCCATGGGCTAGGGGCTGCTGGTCTTTCTTTTTTTTTTTTTTTTTTTACATGCAAGAACTCATGGTCCATGGGCTAGGGGCTGCTGGTCTTTCTGTACAGATGGAGGCAAGACTTTGTGGGAAGAGAAGCAAGCTCTCAGATTATAACAGGGACAAATTATTTTTAATCTTATTATCCTCATGCTAGCAGTGTCTGACATGTAGTAGTCACTCAAGGAATGTTTGGTGAATGAATAAATATCAGTCAATCAATTAATGTTGTACAGTAATGTCTATTTTTCTCTGCTTGGGTTATTAGATTTTGAAAAAACATTCTTAGTCTCATCATAAAAGCCAGTCTCCCAAAGTGGCTGGATAGTGTATTCTTTTTTTTTCTGGAAAGAAGGTACATTTTAAACCATACTTCCAATCCACAAATGAATTACATTTTCATTTCAGGGAATAGTGCAGTCACAGGGAATTTTTAAAAGCTGGAAAGAACCTTGAAATAATTGCCTACAATTCTTTTCTTTCCTACAGAGAGCTGCAAAGTTGGGAGAATAAAGCTGACCAGTAGAGGGGCTGAGATTCAGGCCCAGCTACCTTTCCTTTCTTGCCATGTCCACATTTTTTTTTTTTTTGTCAGTTCCTTCTAAAAACTCCTTTATTTTTTTCTTTTAAAGTGAAATTTAATATCAGTTTTTTTGCAGGGAAAAGCAGAGAGGTTTGAGGCCCAGATCTAGGGCAACTCTGAAGAAACCCCCAACTCAGATCAGGCTTCACTCCCAGCCTGGCCCCTATAGGCCCTGCACTGCCCCCTGGGGGCCCACACCTGTCAATACCTGTCTCTGCATATGCACCAGGAGTACAGGTGTATGTTGGGTCTTGGAAATCATTTTGTCCACCGACCCAGAGAGAGGTTTCCAGAACTATGTTTACATAGGATAAGGCCCTGAGAAGCATGAGTGGGTAGCAAGATTTTCATGTTTGCCAACTTCATCCAGAGAAGGTTTTGTTCAGTCATGGAGGTCATGTCTCAGACCAGTGGTCAAATGTAGGTGCTGGTACAATTGAGTGATCCTAGACTCCCGCCTCTGACACAGGCCTGCTGTTCCTGATGTTGGTGACAGCCCGTAAGGGGCTCAGTCTCAGCAGAAGGAGTCCATATTCACAAATAGTTCCACTTCTCCTGGGCCTTCACCTCTCTCTTATTTGAATGAGTTTATATAGGGGGAAATACTATATTTATATAATAGAACCTTCCCCCTGAATTTATTATATAAAAAACTCTAAAAATACAAAAAACTCCATAGATTTCTATCATCTGACTCAATAGTAATAAAGAGACCAGAAACCCTGTAGATACTAACTCATGTTTTTGAAATATCCCACAGTGGACACAGAGAGAGGGGACCTCCTATGGGAATTCATTATAAGCAGCCTTCTGAAACTAGAATTTTTAACCTCATTAATGACATGGAGTATCTTCTAAGCTTGGCTTCCCTTGTAGGAGCTGAAGTTTCTTCTATGGTGTAGCTCATCCATGGGATCCTCTACACCTCCCTGCAGGATCGGACTGTTGCATCTATACATTGTATGGTCCTCTCAGTTAAATCTGTGATTTAAAAATGAGGTAGACTTTAACATATGATACACTTCCTAATATCATTACAGTGACCTACCATGGTGTTTTCTGCTCATAAACCTAGAATATGTTCCATTACCTCCTGAACTGTAGAGCAAAGTTTCAACATAGCAGCTGGGGGTTCTCTCTAGTCCAGACTCAGTCTTCCGGTCCTGCTTGCCTCTCAAATTGTGCCCTTGGGTTGCCTTTGCTCTTTCAGTTTCATCTGCCTGGAAGCCTCTCTTCCCCTCTAACTTTCACATATACCACCTTGAAACCATGACTATCTCCAAGGCTATTCCACTGAGGGACACATTTCTGCTCAATCCCATGTGCTCTGGCCTGGGCATCTTGGTTTTCATCTCTCCTTACTCTGAACTCCCACAAAAAATCATTCATTCATTTATTTATTCAAACATGCACCTATCTTCTGTTATGTGCTGTTACTTTGATAGACTGCAGAAATTAAAGTTATGGTCCTCAGGAGGTTCTATTGCTGCCAATCTTGCTGAAAGAATCATTAATATATCCTGTCCTAACTTTCTCCCTTCCTGCTTCCTTCTTTGTTCTCTCCAGCTCATTCTACTCCCACTCCTTCCCCTCTCAGCTGTCCTTGCTCACGACTTCATACCAGCCTACCTCAGTGCCTCCAACTCACCCAGCTCCTTTTTGTTTGGGAGACTTTCCATCTGCTTAACCCTCTATTTGGAAGGTTCTGTGTTTACCATGCTTCTAACCCCTTGGCTCAGAAGTTTCAGCTTAAATGTCACTTCCAAAGGCAATGTTAAATGCTTCCAAGATACATTTATATGCAATTTGCTAGAGTTTTATAGCAGCTATCACCATTAAAAGCAAACCATTTTTTGTGCAAGTATTTTTATCTCCTCTCTGCCTCACTTGCTAGGTTGTAAACGTATACAAGGGAGTGTGTGGGCTTGTTTACTGATATATTCCCAAGCCAAGGGTTGGGCTCAACATAGAAGTGATCCAATTGAAAAACTTGACAATGGAAAGGCTGGTGAACTGAAGGATATCATCTCACCTTGCTCAGAGCTCTAACTGCATTATGTAGCACACTAGATGTGTCAGGACCTGTGTTATTCTCCCTTCCTGCTGTCCGATCCTTCAGTGTTCCTCTTATTTACCGAGCTTGCCTTGCTCACCTAAGGAAGGCAAGGAGTATTTTTGGTGTTTTGACATCTCCATGCAAACATTCTTGCTATAGCCTTGAGGCTTTTGTGGCACTCACAGTGTGACAAGATTTTATGAAATTTGCCATTTACTCCCCTTTTCTCCTGGTGACCATCAGAAAGAGAGTTTTCTTTTTAAAGTTTATGGCCTCAGTGGTTCGACTGCAGTTATAGTGCCCCTAACAGCTGTTACTCCTTGCAACAGTGGATCAGAAATGAAGCTCAGCTCTGACTTAATGGAAATTGTCCCTTGAAAGGTTTGCATTTGGAACATTTATTCTCCATTAATTTCAAGTACTAGTCTCTAAATTGAGCAAAACAGTCTCTGTCTTTCTTTTTAGTTGCAGGTTTTAGCTGACAAATGTATGCCAGGGTTGCCGACTTGATTGCAGGCATTGTAATATGCAGATTCCAGAGAAATGTGCTCATCTGTCCAACTCACATCATTCCAGTGGATTCTAGACCCCATCAAGCTTAATCCATGCTGGAGTGCTAGCTAAGTACATCATGAAGCCCTGTCAAGATAAAGCAGACAGCACACTTTAATTGCTTGAGCAGACACTGAGTGAAAAGAATCTTCTGGGGGAGAAGCCAGAAGATCTTACCCTAATGAGGATGGAGGTGTCCAAAGAGCCTCTTATTCTACATATTCCTCCTTTCCACGAAAGGGGGTCTCTTATTGCATATTCTGACTTTGGGGTCAGAGGTAACTATAGGACTTCTCCATCTCATGGACTGGATTGTAATCTAGTTGGTAGTAGAGATTTAAAGTTGTGTGTATTAAGATTCTTTACAAAGACAGTACAATAGGATATATACATAGATATATCAGAAGTTTTTCTTTCTTTCCTTTTTAGGAGAACGGGCTCACTCAATTATGGCTACTGAGAATTCCCATCTTGCGACAGACCATCTGTAAGATAGAGATGCTGGAATGTTAGGATGAATGGGTCAGTCCAAGATCAAAGGCCTCAGAGACAGGGAAGCTTATGATATAACTCTCAGTCCAAAACCAAAAACCTGAGTGGTCACTGGTGTGAGTCCTAGAGTCCACAGGCAGGTGAGCCTTGGGTTCTGATGTCTAAGACAGCAGAGGAAGTATATTCTGCTCTCTTAAGAGACCGATCCTTCTTCTGTATTGATTCTCTCTAGGTTTTTTCTTGATTGGTGTCTGCCCACATTGGGGGTGGGTATGCCCCACCTAATTTACTCAGACTCATATGTCAGTCTCTTTTGGAAGCACTCCCATAGACATATCTAAAGTAATGATTTTTCAGGTTTCTAGGTGATTCTTAGCACAGTCAAATTGATGCCCAAAACTATCACATAGAGATTTCATATAAATTGAGAAAATGCCAACTAGTGCTTCATGATCAAAGAACACAGGTGGTGGGGCACTGATATATAACCTGCCTAAGAATACACAGTGAAGTAATGGTGGACATGATTTTTATGTCACGGGTTCTGAAAGCGTCACTTAAAAGAACAGATAAAGTTATACTCAATATTCAGTGCTCTCTCAGTATTTACTCCCACCTAATCTCCATTTTTTTCCAATCCTGTTCCAGGAATTTTTTGGTGTTATTTGTTCCTTCTTTCTGATTCCCTTAACCAGCAAGGGAAATATCCTGACTTCTTTAATTATAATGCCTCACTTTTTCCTAGTTCTATTTCCTTTTTCTTCTTCTTCTTCTTTTTTTTGTTGTGATGAAGAAAAGTATAGCTTTATTGCAATGCACAAAGTAAGGAGAATGGGTAGCTCATGCTGAAAAGACCTGGTTATTCTGAGGTGTTCCCCATATGTGTTTTTAAGGTCCAAATTAGGGGTAGAGGGCCCTGGCACATGATCAGTTCAATGATTGGTTCAAGAGGGCAAGATCATTTCATGGGTATTCTTGATTGGTGAGGTCGATAATCAAATTTCTGTTCAGATCTCTTAAGCCATTCAGCCTGGGGTTTTTGATGTCTTCTTACAAAGAGTATCCTATTGGTATTGTCTTTGTAAGTAGTGACTGTGTTTCAGTCACTACTTTCTCTTTCTTTATAATCATCACTGAGTCCTCAGACACTGTGATCAGGGTATGCTACTGTAATGACTGTAAAGTTGCTTAGTATTTTTCAACTATAAATAGCTAATATATAATATCTTGTCTGCTGAAGGTGTGAAAGGCTTTAGTCAAATCTTTGATATTAGAGATTTTTGAAAGATAGTTTTATGTGAAACATTGTTCTATTTACTAGTTATTGAATTATTTTCTTTCTTTTTTAGTCAATTTTGTTCTCTTCTACATTATTACGAAATGTTTTCATGAATATTTAATAATATTGTCCTGGGAGCTGGAAAATGGAGCAGCACTAAAATGCAATGCTCTACAAGGCTGACTCACATAAGAGGGTTCTCGGTTCACATTCAGAGACTCCCTGAGTGTGCTGGACATGTGAGTGCCAGTGATCCAGGGCTGGCATAAGATTGGCATTGGATTGAGGTATCAAGACCTTGTCTCTTTGACTCTCTCTCTCTCTCTCTGTCTCTCTTTTTCAGGGAAGAAATAAACTATTGTGTTGATTCTGACTCTATTGAGGTATCAAGACCTTGTCTCTTTGACTCTCTCTCTCTCTCTGTCTCTCTTTTTCAGGGAAGAAATAAACTTAAACTATTGTGTTGACTCTGACTCTGTGGTCATCAGATTCAACAGACAGTCCTTTTTGGCCTTTTCTTTTATTTCTGTATCCATGTGCTTTCACATTGGCTTTTACTTTTGTCTGTTGGCAAGTTATAAAGGGCCACCTTTGTGTTCAACCATTGTGCTTCCATAAACTGAAATATCGTATCTTCCAGCACTACAGAAAGCAAAAAGGACATTTGTAGGAAAAAAGTCAATGTCACACACCATTTAAATTCTTAGACTGGATCTTTAGTGACTTGTTTCTTTTGGAAAATAAAAGTCACCACATTTGTATATTTAAAGTAGGAATATGTTTAAATGATTACAAACCAGATGCATTTGCAAATCTTTCAAGAGCAACAGCTCCATCAAGAAAGTGCTTAAATAAAAAATAAATTATTGCAATTTTCAGGTTGAGTAATAAAGTGTGTATAATTGCAGTGGCTCATATATGCATTTAATGAAGTATATCTATCTTCTTGCAGGAGCTCCACCAATCAATTTGTGATTAAGTAAATGTAATGAGGAAACAAACACTGTTCTACATGGTTTAAAATCCCAAAGCATTTCTTAATACTTTATGTCAATCAGCATATAGTTAGTGTCATCTGTTTGCTAAGTGCCAAGGTCCAGCTATACTCCAGGGAGCCTAGAGTGAAGTAGGGAAGAAAGGATGGCATACATGGAGTTGGTATCACATGACCTGTGGCCTTGTGATTGGGACTGAGAGTTTGGGGAGGTAGGTGGTCCTGGGTTTAAATCTCAACTTCTCTTCTGCTGGCTATTTGAAGAAATATCCCGAACCCTTTGAACTTTGTTATGTGAATTAAATGGGAATGGCAATTATAATAATCAGGTGTACAGACCAGGGTCATCATTAAGTTTTTAAAGGCATTTAAAACATTCATTGTGATGCTCCTGTGGCTGCTGCTGATTCTAGCTAATTATTTAGCAGTTATTGAGCACCAATATTCAATAATTTGTAATCTTACAGATACAGACAGAATTGGGGAAGATATGGTGAGGTTTGAGGAAGAATTTAAGGGTATGTCAGATTCAAAAAGGTAGAAGAGAAGGCATTTTGTATCTTATTTTTCACACCTTGTTATTTAGTCCCCTTACTTCATCCTTCTGTAGATTGATTTAATTTTGTAACTGTTAGAAATGTTTAAATAACTTTATGTGCATAATTTATAAAATTAGTTGTAACCTAATGATGTTATATGTGCACTTAGTATTTGAGCAGTGTTCCAAACTGCTCTTCAGGAGACCTTTCCAAATATTTCAAGTCCTTATCTTGCATTTTTCAGAAAACAGAAGGAGTCACAGAACTCTCTCCTCTTCCATTTTTCTTATATGACTGGTTTCTTTCAGATTTCTCTCAAAACTTTCTGGAAAATCTCCTCCCTGAAGCCCTGTCCTTGTATCTTGAGTTGGTTTCAGAAACTCCTGCTAAGAGAGCAGAGTAAGGGAGCAGAAAAAAAACAGTGAAAGAGAGAGCAGTTTCTCTGTGGCTGGTGATAAGAGGGCAAATTTGGGCAACACTTTTATACATCTGTATAGAAGTCTGTCTATATGCCTGAGTAGCACATGACATACTGCCTAGTTAGCCTAAAAGACTGGCCCTTCTAAACATCTAAATAGTACCTCTGTGGACATCAAAGGCCAGGGATATACAGCACTGCTACCAATGATTTCTAGTGGAGTAAGGACAGTCTACTTGATCCCTTGGGCACCTCCATCCTGCAACGATGATGCATGCAGAGCTGTACTGTTCTAGTGACATGCATTGCCCCTCAGAGCCAAGCTACTCTGAAGGGATATCCTACCTCACACTGCAAACCTGTCCCTGTCTCACTCTACTTCTTTCCTGTGGTTAGAAATTTAAGAAAACGTAATTAAGGGTCTTTATATCTCCCTTTGATCTGTGCTATACCTGTCTTGTTCTCCATTGCTGATGTTCACTCTTTTCTTTCTTCTCTCAGTTATTTTCCTTTTCTATTCTCTTTCTTTACCTGTATATTTTTTTCTAGATCCCTCTGAAATCCCACATCTATTACCAGTAATGAGAGTGAACAGTTTAGTTTTGCTTACTGGCTGGTATATATACACAATCTTTAAATCATTGGCTATGTTTATTCTCAAGAGATACTGCACTCACTGTAGTCTCTGAGACTCAGAGAAATTCCTGGCAATCAAGGTTCTCTGTAGATCCTATGGAGAAGCAAGTTAAGTCTTGACTTCTAACTTCTGGCTGTAAATGTTTCTGACATTCAGTAATGGAACAGTTTAATGCTGTGCAAAGTCTGAGACTGGTGTAGAAAAGAGAGTCATACAGAATTCAAAATGTATTATCAAAAGTCAACTGTGAGCTAATTCTAGGTGTCCAGTATCACTATTAGTCAAATGAAACAGTCGAACAGGAGTGAATGGCATCCAGAGAGACCCATAATCTAATGCTTTCTTAATGCTATTCAATGCATCATTTAACATTCATGACATTTCTGTTATCAGTTTTAGCAGTATGTGAGAACCATTGCAACCTGGGAAGGGGTTTGATAGGGCTCTGTTGATTTAAGTTAACTGTGAGATATCCAAATGAAAGGTGGAAAAGCAGGACAAACTCCATAGAGCTAAGTGCTAGATACACACATAGGGATTAGAGGTTCTCCCAGAAAAAGAAGAGTAGCAAAGACAAAAGACTGAGGAATAATTTAGAAAGGAGAGAGAAAAAAAGTCATATGGTACAGTGACTATGTTTCATGAAATAGTGTATCTTTGGACAAATTATGTATAACATATATGATAGGTATAAAGTAATATTACTGAACCAAACCTTCAGATACCCACCACCCAATTTGTGAATTTGTGAAAGAACATTAGTGATTCTTTGAAGCCTGCTGTGGGCTTCTCCCTCATAGTATCATCTTCCCTTTCTGTTTGAGATCATCACTGAGTTGTTTTGTGGTTATCAATCATTGCTGCTCTTTATTTTTTTATTACATGTGTACCCATTTCTAAACAACATTTTGCTTAGTTTTATAAAATTGTGGACTTATCAATACATAGTTATAATCATACTGTATGCATTCTTTTGTGACTTGCTTTCATGCTTAATACTTTTTAATTTTAAAATTTTTATTTTATACATTTAATCACTATACATCACTTAGTATGTGAACTGAAATTATCCAACATGAATACACTTGAGATTCATCATGGTAATGAATGAAAGAAACTAAGGCACACCCATTTTAACATTCTATTACATAGAGATTAAATTGTTTATATAGTCCTCTGTCAGTGCATTATGTTTGGGTTTTTGGTATTACAAAATGCTTCTTTAGATATTTTGGACTTTTCTCTTGGTCTATAAAAGCAAATATTTGATATATAAATGATATATTTACACACACACATATGTGTGGTATAGGGTATTCAGATCTTCCATTGTAAAGAGATAATGACAATTTGTTTTCAAAGTAGCTGCACTCTTTTTTTAAATTTCATTTTCTTTTATACATTTGATCATGCTATTTAGCTTACAAAGTGAATATTTTAACATGTGAACATTTCTCCCTAGTCCAGTTGATAAAACTATAAAATTATATTCAACAGATAATACCACATTTCTTTGTCCCATTAATGCTTTGTTTCTCTATTTTCCTTCTAAATGTCCTTTCTCAGACTCTACTCTTTCACACACGCTGTATCTGGTGTTCACATCCATTTACTGTGTTTCTATAATTTTTAGTCAATCAGTTTCAGTCATAGAGTGCAGACACTTGGTATATATTAAGTGGGGAACATACAATGTCTCTCCTTCATGGCCTGGCTTGCTTCACTTAGCAGTAAATCTTCCATATTCTCTTTTACAGTCCCATCAGAAATTCTATTTCTCCTCCGACCTGTCAGAGTTGTTACTGTAAGACTTTCTAGTTTTCCCTCAACTGGAGGGTATAAAATGGTGTTTCATAGTGTTTTGGCTACCCATTCTCATGATTATTAGTGAGGCTGAGAGCATGTTTTCATATATTTATTGATTATTCAATGTTCATTTTTTAAAAAAAGTTCTGTTTGAGATTTTTGCTTGCTTTTCTCTCGCATTGATTATAGTTTTGTATTGATTTTAGTGTTTCTTATATATTTTGCATAGTTTTGTTGTTTTTTTAAATTGTTGCAATTATAAAACACACCATTTATGTTTTATCAGCAGATATTTATTTGAACATAATCATATTTATCTACTTTATCTTTGTGTTTCTTTGGCTTGTTTAAAAGTCATTTTGAACTTTAAATTCATAAAGCTATTACTCTCATTTTTTTCTAAAGTTTTTATAGTTTTGCCTTTCATATTTAAGTCTATTGTCATCAGGGACTGGCTTTCAAAAAGGTAAGAGTGATGCTGTGTGTAGAGTACAAAAACTGCCCCTAATTCATTTCATACTTACCATATAGCATTTCATTATATAAATCAGGCAATTTATTTATTCATTATTCTGTTATTGTAAGGTATCTGAGTTTATTTTTAGTTCAGGACAATGTTGAATGAACATCTTTGAATTTTTTTTAATGGTTCATGTGCATAAGCATACCTGTTGAGAATACAGGTAGTAACATTCTTGGACCATAGGGCACTATGCTTTCGATCTTAGTAGGTGATACTAAATGACTTTCCTGAGTGCTTGTAACTATTAAACCTCTACCAGAAGTGTTCATGAATTCATATTTTTTTTCAGATCAACATTTGGTACTATGATCCTCTTTCATGTCAGCCCTTTTGGTGAGTGAACAGTGATTTTAGTTTACATTTACGTCTATTAATGTTGTTCGATGTTTTTTATATGTTTAATTGCAACTTGAATATTTTCTTTAGTTTATTGTTCATTTCCCACTTTTTTGGTTCCGTTAACTATCATTTTTGTATTGTTTTGTATGAGTTTTTTAGGAAACTGGCTGGTTATGCATATTGCTGATGTCTTATTTATCAGATTGTCTTTTATTTTTCATTCTCCTAATAATGCCTTTCAATGAATGGAAGTTCCTATTTTTAAGATCATTGTGCTTTATCAATTTCTTTTCTGTTAATGATTTTTATTTCCTGTTGAGAATTTTCTCCACTTTGAGTCATGAAAATACTGTCATTTTATTTTCTGAAAGTTTTAATTTTTTCTTTTCACATTTAGATCTACATTCCAATCAACCCTGTATCGCATTATTAAAATGCCATCCCTTCCTCATGGCTCTACAGTGTCATTTTGTTATAAACTAGGTGTCTGTATATGCTGTACTTTTGTGTGTCTTTTATGGACTTTTTATTCTATTCCATTGGTATGTGTTTCCTTATGTCAGTATCAGTTTCTATTAAGTACATTAGCTTTATAGTCAATCTTGTTATATGGTAGAGCAAACTATCCCAGATAATTCTTCTTCAAGACAATCTTGCTGGTTCTGGGTCCTTTTCATTTCCATCTTGGACTAAGCTCGTTAAGTGCAACAGAAAAGTGGGAAGACATTTGCTGTCACACTCAGAGTCAAGGCCATAATACTTGTTTCCTTTGAAAACACTGTCTGAAAGAAAATTGAGCCATTTTTGTCAACTTGTGTTGAACTCTGATTAAACAGCCTGGAAAAGCCATAAAAGATGTGTTGTCTTATGCTAATATGTCTAATAACAAGAACTATGACAGGAGTTTGCCAGAACCACAACCTTGCACAAAGACCACTGCAACCTGACACAGAGCCTAGTTCTACAAGGACATCTGCCCGGAGATTACTGATCTGATCCTAAACTCATGCCACCCTTGTTATTCATCCTAGTAGTTAACACTCACTGTCCTAAAACAATTTATTTAATCATCTCTCCCTCCCTCCCCTTCTGCTTATGGTTTTTGCCTGCTGAAATATTGTGAGACCTTGAGGTGAATGTGCTTGACAACCTAAAGGTGTCCATCCAGGCTATATATCATATTTTCTGAAAGTTTTAATTTTTTCTTTTCACATTTAGATCTACATTCCAATCAACCCTGTATCGCATTATTAAAATGCCATCCCTTCCTCATGGCTCTACAGTGTCATTTTGTTATAAACTAGGTGTCTGTATATGCTGTACTTTTGTGTGTCTTTTATGGACTTTTTATTCTATTCCATTGGTATGTGTTTCCTTATGTCAGTATCAGTTTCTATTAAGTACATTAGCTTTATAGTCAATCTTGTTATATGGTAGAGCAAACTATCCCAGATAATTCTTCTTCAAGACAATCTTGCTGGTTCTGGGTCCTTTTCATTTCCATCTTGGACTAAGCTCGGTAAGTGCAACAGAAAAGTGGGAAGACATTTGCTGTCACACTCAGAGTCAAGGCCATAATACTTGTTTCCTTTGAAAACACTGTCTGAAAGAAAATTGAGCCATTTTTGTCAACTTGTGTTGAACTCTGATTAAACAGCCTGGAAAAGCCATAAAAGATGTGTTGTCTTATGCTAATATGTCTAATAACAAGAACTATGACAGGAGTTTGCCAGAACCACAACCTTGCACAAAGACCACTGCAACCTGACACAGAGCCTAGTTCTACAAGGACATCTGCCCGGAGATTACTGATCTGATCCTAAACTCATGCCACCCTTGTTATTCATCCTAGTAGTTAACACTCACTGTCCTAAAACAATTTATTTAATCATCTCTCCCTCCCTCCCCTTCTGCTTATGGTTTTTGCCTGCTGAAATATTGTGAGACCTTGAGGTGAATGTGCATGACAACCTAAATGTGTCCATCCAGGCTATATATCAGGTGCTGTCCTCAACCTTATGCTCAAATAAAGTCCTTTTGCTTTACCCATTTCATCTCAGTTTATGTCTTAGGTTGATACCTTCTGGTTCGGGAACTTAAAATTTATTTTTATTTTCTGAGAGGGTATAGTTTTTAGAGGCTCTGGTTTTATCTGTTGTCACTCTGCAGGGATGGAACATCAAGCACTGAGTCACTGGAGATTGTTCTGTGATTGTCAGTATCTACCTGATGTAGCTCTCACCTAATTTCAAATATTGACTTTGTTTATAACCTCTGACTTTTTTCTTAAAAAATTTATTTGTGCTTATTTTTGCACATTTGAAACAAAGTCTCATATATTTTCAACATCTTTTTAAATGCCAGAAATCACAGCAGAGAGAGAGAGAAAGAGGGAAAATCACCCCCAATGGGGCATGCTTATATTAACAGTACTTTCTCTTCTGTTTCTCTATTCTGTAGGAATTTGGGGCATGCATGTACACATGCCCTGCATGTTTTTTCAAGCTACCAGGGTCAGAATTTGAACCATGGGTTAGCCATGTAGGCTCTGACTTCCTTAACCATTAGACTATGGGGTTGGCTCACTGGCATTTTTATATACTTTTTATTAGTAGAACTATTTTTGTGACATTTTGTTTTGTGTTAACTTAGCTAAGTTAACTTAGAAGTAATTCCATAATCTTTTTTTGTGTGATTATTGAATAGAATTGTCCAAAAGGAAAAGTTGCATGAAATTTTAGAAGGTAGAGGTAGAGTGGCAGCCATTGCTGTTGGAAGATCATCATGGTCAGATTCAGTCAGAGACAGATATGGATGATCTAGCAGCTGCAGACTTGTCCTCACTCTCCTTTGTTTCAGGTTCAGCTCTTATTCCTTACTGTTAGCTCTGATGGACAACAGTGACCAACAGTCACTGTAGGTCCTCCATGGGACAGAAGTTTCAGCTTTCTATGTACTTTGCCACTGGCTTCCCTTTGTGGTCCCACTTGGACAGGATATATCTGGGTTCCCAGACAGTTGTTCTTGAAAACAATATTCCTAAAGGAGGGCTGGCTACTCCCTTCCCTGATCATCCATTTCTGCAGTGTACACAACTAAGAACTAATGCAAATAATAAATCTGCTGGTCCACAATAGTTATAATGTTCCTGCTTCCCAGACTAAAGATTTCTCAGGTATTTATTCTGTGCTATATTGCCCCAACAGAAATTCTAATGCATGGATTTATACATGTTGGGAATTAATGGACTTGTTTGAAAATGTGATATGACTTAAAGATCTTCACCTTAGAAAAATAGTCAAAAGCATATAGCAATAAAATTTCGCCTAAATTTTAGGAATCATATGTAAAGAATATTTGATAAATTGTTGGAGGCAAATGACTTTGACTATTGTCTAATAATAAAATTATAGAAAATAAGCCAATTTTGCCATGAAGTGGTATATGTACTGTATTGTATATGTAATGTATTTGAATTTATAAAAAAAAAAAAATTGCTAGAGGTCACATGTGCTTGCCAGAGAGAGAGAGAGAGACAGAGACAATGAGAGGGAAGGTGAGAAATCACCCCCCAGGGGGCATGGTCATGCCGCAATCCCTTC